CAGAAAAGTAGTGACTCCGAATACGTCAGTGACTGTCTGAAACCATAAGCGAGATAGCTGTAATTCCAGAAGGCTGCACACATGGAAAGTGTGATGGCCTCACAGAGAAGCAGGTGGGCTGGCAAAGGTGGTGTCCAATGCCGCGGTGCCAATTATGGCACACAGGGGACCTCGGACCCAGTTGAACTGCCCCGGAGGGGTCTCCAGGCTCTTATTTCTTGGGTCAGGGTGAGTTTTAACCCCCAGCCTTGCAGCAAGCATCCAAGCACATAACCATTGCACCATCAGAGAAAGTGGGGCTGTGTGAGGCCAGGCTCAGGAAAAGAGGGGTTCCCCCGTAGGGAGCCGGCAGTGCTAGGAGAGGAGGGGAGCAAGGGTTTCCTAACATCCCCATGCCCTACCAAGTAGGATCCCAACTTCTTCAGTCACCGTTCCTGGACAGTCTCATGGATTATAGAACTGCCCCTGTGCACGTCTGACATTGCATATTTAACAGGAACATAAAGTCTCAAGTCTTCCTCTGAGTCATCAGACCACTGTATAACCCACTGCGCCACGGAAATGACACGGCCCAAACCTCCCAAAGACTGAAGTAGATTTTAGTGTCAGAAAGAATCTGAATGCTGCCTTCCTCTCACCCACATTCTTTTCTTGGGTGGGTTTCGATGGACTCCTGGACCCCTCAGAAAACGAAATGGGAGTGGGGGCTGGGCCCCAGCCCTCACCTGTCTCCAGCCCCCGACCCCAGCAATTGTTCCGTGGTCGCCCCGAGAGTTAAAGAGCCCAAGAAGGTTCCACTTGCAGCCGAGGTGCCCTCGCCACTCCTCCAGCTGGTGCAGGTATGCCCAGCTGGCAAAAGAAGCTACTATTCCAGGGGCCTTGGAAATGCCTGTGGGGAAATGGGATTAAAAGAGAAAGGGATTATCCCACCAATTGGGTGAACACCCTCGTGCCTGAGAAAGTCAATGTAACGTGAGTGGGGGGCAGTTCTTAGGATGCCAATGCTGGATGGCCATGAGCCTTTGGCCCCTCAGAAGATCTTCAGTCTGTAATCAAGGTTGTGTCCATGATCAAGGTTGTAGGACCCCTTTGGAGGGGCAGGCAGAGTTGCCAAAAACAGAGCCTGTTACCAAATGGATCTGGATGGCTCGTCACCCGCACACCTTAACCAAGTTCACCCAAGTGCTGGTTTTATAAAAATGCCATCTACCGGAGGGGAAAGAGAATTCAGCCCTGGGCAACAGGAATCCTTGACTTTACCCACTGCCAGACAGCATTTATGCTTTTATCACCCAAGTCCACTTCCTGCTGGGTACTGAGTTTGTAAAATTACAAGCAGAACAAAAAATCGAATTGTCATTCTGATAACCAACATGACTGGACCCTTAAGGGTCAAACTGCCACGTCCCTGCATTATTTAAAAGAGAAAGAGTCTTGATTGCACAGTTCAGTGAGATCAGGTACGCATGCTTTAAAATGCTGAAAATACCAAACCTCGAGGGTTACCTATAGAAGCTATTCCTGAGGACTCTGATCTAACTTCAGAGGCATAGTCCCAAAGTACAATTCCGTTGATCACTTATTAGGGCCTGTTGTGGATTATGTCTTCATCAAAATCCTGGTTGTCAATCCTCACCTCTCTGCTGTAGCTCAGAATCTCAGCAGGGGCTGGGCAGTGGGGCAGGATTAGTACAGGGTGCCCAAGGACTCAAACTCAAACTCACTGCCACTGAGCCCATCCTGACTCACAGCGAGGGCCCTCTAGGGCAGAGTAGAACTGTATCTTGGGGTTTCAGAAGCTGTGACTCTTACAGGGCTAGAAAATCTCACCTTTTCCCCACAGAGCAGCTGGTAACCAGCTGGTACCAACTGCTGACCTGTTGGTTAATAGCCCAACGTATAATCCGCCAGGACTCCTACTGTCGGGTGTATCGAGTCAATCTCTTTAAAGATGTGAGAGTAAACAAACCAGCAGAGAGAGAGAGGCCAGGACACAGGGAGATCTCCAACAACCCACAAGCAGAAGCTGCAGACAAACACCTTCCCCTAGAGTCAGCGCCCTGAATTTGGACTTCTACTCTCCAAATAAATGCCTGCTGGTTAAGGCCACCCACGTGTGGTGATTGTTTTAGCAGCACGAAGTAACTAAGACAGACCCATTCCTGTTACGATACATGAAAGAAAGAAAAAAGACTCAATATTGCATCATAAAATCCAGTGATTAGACCTTAGGGGCACAGCTACCTTGAATGTCTTCTAAATTCTGCTTTCTGAAGAAGGATGGCTGGCACATATATTCCATCCTAGCTGTGGGCGAGTCTTAAGAGTTATCTACTCAGATATTTTTTAAATATTAGAAGAATATATATAAAAAATGTTAGCAGTGGTTGTGCGCAGGCAAGCAGTCAAAAAACAGGCAATTTTTTCGCTTCTTAGACTGATCTTCAGTGTCCAAATTTTCTTGAGACCCGTCGTTGCTTTTACAGAGTGATGCCAGGCGTCCGGCTTAAAATGCGATGGAGAGACAGCAGGTTGGTCCCCACTGATGAGTTCTAATGCAAAGGAGAGTTATGCTTGCGCCGTTTTATGTAGCCCCATCCCACGTTTCTTTTCCAGTCCTCCTCTCTGATTGGAACCAACCTCTGGAAGCGTAAGTGCTTCTCATACCAAAAGCACTCGTCCTGGCAGGTGAATGAGCGCTGGCCTCCGGAGTCATGTCTTGTAGGAGAGGCACCGAAGCAGCTCCCTATGTCAGGGCACTCAATCCCATGCGTAATTAAACATGCCCAGCAGCTCTCAGTATCCCCATTTCCGGTTGGAAGGGCAAGGTGGAAGCCAAGGACGCTGAGGGGTCACCAGGATCTACCTGGTCAAAGGGAGAACCAGCCCCCTCCTGACTGGGGAGACCACACTCCTGTCACCAAGCAGGCCTGCAGACAGAAATTTGACCTCACTCTCAAAACACTGCCTACACTCTCCATTCTACTCCACCCCCGGCCCATCTCTCCGCTGCCACAATACAGCTGAGTTAAAAATGTCCCCCAAACCTGCCATGTGGGAGGCATTTTTATATAGAATTGGAACCAAAAGTGATAATGGTATGATACTTCCCTTTTGAACAAAGCTGGTCTCCCAGGAACCAATCTTTCTATTCTAGTCCACAACCTCCCCACCCCCAGGGTTCACTGGGGTGCATCAGAGGTTCCACAGTATTTCCTTCAAGTATTATTTTTTAAATATATACATTAACAATGACAAGACTGCATGGTCACTCATCAATAGCCAACTCTCCTCCCTGAGAGGTCACCAGTTACTTGCATTTTCACTGCCTCCTAGATGATTAACAAGAGGCTATCAATTAACCTTAAAATAAATTTAAATAAGATACGACCTACAATGGAGCTCCAGGAAGATTTCATACAGCAGTCCTCTAAGCCCACGTGAAAACCCAGGCAGCAAACCAAGCCAACGCTTGTTGCGGGCTGTGGTCACTTCCTTACTGGGCTTTTAGCATTGGATCCTGTTGATATAAATTCCTGGACACGCCAAAAACTAAGGTAACCAGATTTTAACATTGGTAAAGTGAGACAAAAGTGGGACACCATTGATAAAATTCATATCCTGGCGAAATAGCCACATGGCAGCCGAAAACTGTATACCCTAGCTTGTTGTGCATTCTTTCCAAAAATCGGGACATTTTTAAAACGCTGTGGGATGCTGGAAAACTTGTTAAAAATCGGGACTGTCCCGCCAAAAGCGGGATGTCCGGTCACCTTACAAAAAAAACGAGACTGCCAAACTGGGAGATTCTTAAGATGGGTGAAAGAGCTCATCTGTCCGGCCCTACCCCACAATGGAATGTCATAAAGCAGGATGCCTGAGCTTAAATGGGTATCCCTGAGGGCGATACTCCACACCTCAAGCCTTTCCGACAGTTCGGGAGTCTTCCACAGAGCTCAGGGAGAGGAGGTTAGTTGTAGCCAGTGTTGGTTCAAGCTAGAAAAACTCAGAAGGCAACAGATATTTTTTTCCCTGCTGTGGAAACACAACCCAAGTCCACGGGTCCGTGTGTAAGAAGTGCTGCCACCACCTAAGGAAGCCAGCAGTCCAGACGCCGTGCGCGCTGGCCAATGAGACTGTGCAGCTGGATTCCCGCAGTGAATGGGAGAAGAGGCGAGATTCTTGAAGCTAATTTCCAGAAGAGCATCATATAGACTGGAGGCTTCAAATGAGAAACGTCTCAAAAACAAAACAAAACAAAACAAAACCTTCAGGCCTGCTCCAAGTGTTGAGCCAGAAATGCTGCCCTGCTTCGAAGGGGGGGCCTTTGGGCCGTCTCGCTGAGTGCCAGCTGACTGCAGAGCTGGGGGGCCCCACGAGGCTGGCCCTCTGGAGATTTTAGGCTACAGAGCAGGGAGTGGGGTGGGGATGGGAGATCGCAACATTTTAAAATTGTGCTCATCTTCCAGAATAGCTAAAAGTGGATCGTCGTTTTTGGCACAGAGGGATTTGCTCCATCGTTTTTCCCTCCTCTGAAATCAAGTCTCCAACTCTCAGCAGAGGTAGTTAGAATGCACAAAGGCAGGTGAAAAACCTGGGTGAGTTGAGAAGCCCAGATTTTAAAAAAGCAAAACCGCATTGTGTGTCTGATTTGCTTGGTTTCCTTGAAGGGCCGGTGTCCCACATGAACTTCTCTGAGAGGCTTCCATCTGAGAGTTAGTGTGTCTGTTAACAGCAGGTCAGGGTCGGATGGAGGTTGAGGGCCTGCCAAGGGCAGGGTCCGGTGGGGGAGGGGCGCGCTCCAGGAAGCCCGGCATGGCTGGTGGCGCCGGGCGCCCCCACAGCATGGGAAGCAAACGACGAGTCCCCCACCCCCAGGTGAGGAGACAATGACTTCTCCCCCCCCCGCACGCACGGCGGAGTCCCGGCAGCGCAGACAAGTAAGCTAGAGCCCTAGACAAGCGAATTTTAAAATCAAACCGTCCCTGCCCCCCCTCGGCGAGCCCCTCGGGGGCCGCCCCCAGCCAGCGGGGCCCAGGGCGAGAGGGAAAGGAAGCGAGGGGCCTCCCCGCGGCCCGGCCGTCACGTGATCTTGACGGGCGATTTCTTGCTGGCGCACAGCAGGGACACGTAGGGGACACCGATGAAGGCCCACTTCTCGCTGGGCCAGAACTTGATGACCGGGCCTTGCTCGGGGATCTCCGAGGCGGCGTCGAAGTAGGCGAAGCACACGCAGCCCAGGTAGGAGGCCAGGCAGATGAGGATGTGCCTACGACAGGAGCCCAGGGTCAGAAGCTGACGTCAACGGGCACGCACGCACGCACGCACGCACGCACGCAGGCCCAGCTAGGTCTACCAGGCCTGCCCCTCTCCGGGAATCCGCCCACCCCCTCGTAGCTATAATGACCGCCCAGGGACCTCGTAGAAATAGGACGGGATCAAGAGGCCAACTATGCCCAGAATGGCCGGAAGTTGATCCGTCGTGAGCAGCTCTGGACAAGGCTTAAAAAGAGTGATCTATTAAGGTGACCAGATTTTAACACTGGTAAAGCGGGACACCATTGATAAAACTCACATCCTGGCGAAATAGCCACATGGCAGCCGAAAACCGTATACCCTAGCTTGTGGTGCATTCTTTCCAAAAATCGGGACTTTTTAAAAACGCTGCGGGATGCGGGAAAAATTGTTAAAAAGCGGGACTGTCCCCCCAAAAGCGGGACGTCTGGTCACCTTATGACTAAAATACGCCTCCTTGATCACAGGAATCACTACCAAGGAGTTGATTCCAACACAGCCACCCTCTAAGACACAACTGAGGCTTACATCCTTTGGGGAGTGGACAGGCTCAGCTTTCTCACAAGAAAATGCCTTCGGCCTCTCGTTCCATTATTATTTTTATATTTCTATGTGTTTACATTGTTAGAAATAATCAATTTACACAGGAGTAGAGTTACACTCCTGGAAACTCACAGGGCAGCACTACCCTTTCCTAGAGAGTCGCTGTGAGTCAGCAGTGACTCGATGGCAGTGAAGTTTACACACGTACCAAAATTAGTCAGACTGCACACTTAATGCCTGTGCATATTATCCTCTGTATATGAAACCTCAACAAGCACATTAAAAAGGGTCCATAAATCCACGAATGTGAGTCAACTTGGAACCAAAGAACCATCTGGCAACAGATCCCAAGAGATACTAGAAACACCAGCTTAGGCTGCTTCATTACATTCTGAGTTTTGCAAATCCTTCTCGAAGTCCTCAAGTCTTAAGTGTAGAGCCGGCTGGGTCTTGTAGTAGATATATACAAGACCCTACATGTATGTGGGAACGTAGATGGATTTGCTCCATCGATTTGACTGCCACAGTGTAACCTGAGTATTGCAAAGAATGGCTGTTCTAATTCCCTATCATTGAACCCTGAGGCTGAGTTCATTTAAGTAGGTGGTTGATACTGGGTTACTGGATGATTCTCTTTCCTTCTCTGGGCTTCTGTCCCTACCTGTAAGAGGTGTGGGTGTAACTGTCCCTAGATGACCTGTGAGGCCCTGTGCTTTCACCACAGGCCCAGAGACGTAGTCCTACGCTGGAACAACCCTGTCCACACACCACAGCTCCACCCAACAGGCTCTTGCTAGTCTAGCTCAGGTGACAGATTGGGTTTTCAAGCTCCTGGATGCTTTAATAATGGAGCTAGAGATAAGAGACCACAGCCTTTCAGCATACAGTGACAACATTTTGGCTAAGCCTGCTCTCTGAAGCCAACTCTGCTTTTTAAAATTCTTCCCCCACTGCTCCAGAAACGTCTGACAGTGCAGGTGAGGAGAGAAGCTCACGTGGGCACTGCCCTGTCCCCATGGCACCCCTGGGCACCTGGCAGTGTGTGCAGACCCCTGCCTCGCAGCCAGGTCTACATCAGCAGGGCCACTTACCACACGCAGTGCAGGTAGGGGAAGTGGAAGGAGGACAGCAGCTCGCAGAAGGCGCGGTCGCTGATCCAGCAGAAGAGGGCGAGCATCCACCAGAGGCCAGAGAAGAGGCCTAACTTAAACACACGCACGTTGTCACACCTGCACGGGATACAGAGGACATTTCAGCCCGGGCTCCCACCCACCACTGGCCACTTCTGCTCGGGTCTCCGACACTGCTTCCTTCTTCCCAGCACATACCAGGCTCTCAGCGTTTGCTGAATGAATGGGATGAGGGGGTTCAGAACACACTGGGACACATTTTTCAGAAATAAATCCTAGACAATCAGATGCAGTTTTCCTTCCTTGTCCCTGAGTTGCCCATAAAGTGAATTATTTCCATCTTATTGGCGGGTGCAGTAGGTTAAGCATTGGACTGCTTGATGGAAGGCTGTCAGTTCAAACCCACAAGCCACTCAGCAGGAGAAAGAGCGACGGTCTTGGAAGCCCTGTGCAGCAGGTCAACCCTGTCCTGTAGGCTACAGTGGGTTGGAATGGAGTCAATGGCTGTGGGGAGTGGGGTGAGAGGGGAGATGCCTAACAGGCAGGGGAGGGGGGTGACTGAGTCCTTCTCAACCCATCCTTCGGGGTTCCTTCTCCACAGGGGATGGCTCCTCAGTCCTTCAAAATCTCGCATAACTCCCCCCAAACGACTAGGTGGGACCATGCAGACTGGGTGTACTTCTGCTTTTCCTAATGTGTCTGGGTAAGAGCTAGGGGAAGATGCCCATAGGATTATATGATACAGTTGTGACTGTGAACAAGGGCCCACTGTGATTGTAAAGAGTTGGAACTCTGAACGTGGGAATAAGAGTTGCCGTCCTGCAGGGTATAAAACAAGCCATCTCGGAAGCAGCGGGAAATTGCACTTCCAGCAAGAAAGAAGAGCTACAAACGGAGCATGTCCTTTGATTCCACTGCCCTGCACTGCCTGGTTCAGGAGGCAGAGCCGCACGTGACACTGAAGAAGCCGTGGCAGCAGAGGCGGCAGCAGGAGCACAAGGCAGTGGGCTTCCAAGCCCACAGAGAGAGAAAGCTGCCTTCAGGCAGGAGGCTCGCTTGTGCAGTGGGCTGCCTCCAGGAACTCACTCGGAGGCTAGGTTTGCTGATCCATAGAACTAGAGCTGAGTGCCTTCTGTCTGAGTCTTATGGCAGAGTGGCATGCCCTTTGGGTATTTATTGGCAGCACTTAAAGGAGCTTTATAGCATTGTCCAAGCAGGGCAGACGCCAAGGGGCCCAGTGGCTGAGAGGTCAAGGACCAGAGAAAGGCCTGCCTGCCTCTCTCTGCAAATGATAAACGTGTTCATGTGTAACAGAGGCATAAGGACGGGAAGAGGCTGACCTGAGTGAAGAACTGTGTCCTGAGCATTTCGGATCCTGAACAGTAACTTGCTAACTTCCCTAATAAACCTCGTGGTTTCAAGTACCATCTGGGAGTTCTGTGTGGCCAGAGTCATCAAACCCAGAATGCATTGGCAGAGATGGCTGGGGCAGAACTGGTTGGAGGGTAGAGGCATGTCTAACACGGCCTCACAGGAATCAGCCCTGGACTGATGTTCAGTTAGATCAGTGGTTCTCAACCCCCCACCATAAAATTATTTTCACTGCTACTTCATCACTGTCATTTTGCTACTGTTATGAATCAGGAGACCCCATGTGAAAGGGTCGTTCGACCCCCAAAGGGGTCACGACCCACAGGTTACAAACCACTGCTTTAGATGCTCCACCCACCCTTGTGAAGTCAGCAGAGGCAGAGACCACCTGTGGCATGGTTCCACACAGACACCTATGTAACCTGCAGAGTATGAATGTGCAATGAAGTACAGGAGTTGTGCAGTTTGTAAAAAAAAAAAAAATAGGATGCACGTAAATACATTAGTCCACTATCTGTTTTTCTTTCAGAAAGGGCCTGCCATATTTATTCTAGGCCCAACATCAGCCTGTGTCTGAAATGGTCTGTCTCTCCCTGTCCTTAAGGCTACTGAAATAGACAGACTGGAGAAAAGTTGGCTTCTGCGCCTGGCTCGCAGCCTAGCCCAGGACCATCAGCTGAGGGATTCCGAGGCTGGACCTCTTTAAGGAGCAAGCAGCCTCTCTTCCTCCCACAGAGCGGCTGGTGGGTTTGGCCCACAGACCCTGTCATCTGCAGTCCAGTGCTTACCCAGCCAAACCACCAAGGCTCCTAGCTCTAGAACAGCAAGTGGAAATCACCCTCTTCCCCTGCACCCCTCCTTTAGTGCAGACGATCTGAAGCCGCTCCCAAGGCAGAAAGCTGGAAAGAAGGGTTTCTGTCCTCTCAGAAGAAAGCAGAGTCGAAACTCTGAGGGAGCACATCGCATGAAGGGGGTGTTGTGGATTACAACACTCCACATGGGTGACCAGGAGAAAGTCATGTCTTGGAAATGCACTGCTGAAATGAGCACTGGGAAAGAGGAGTGTTTCCAAAGAGAATAAGACAGGGGCAGTTTGGTTTGGTGCTTCTTGGTCTGGCCCGGGGAAGACAGAAGTATCTCCAAGAGGACTGAAGTCGAATGTTATCTGGATGTCAGCTCCGAGTTCACAGCCTCCCCAAGGAACGTGCTTACACGCACACCCCACCCTGGTGAGAAACCGAGCCTCAGAGAATATATCTGTCATAGTCCAAAGTATTCGATTTGGGACTAAGGTTTCATCATTTTCCAGGCCTCCTTCCCCTTTTCCGTGTGTGTGTGTGTGTGTGTGTGTGTGTGTGTGTGGTGTGTGTGTTGCTCTCCGGTCCAATCTGCTTGGGTCAGACTAGAACTATGCTTCCTCGGGTTATCAATGGCTTTGGGATTTTGGAAGCAAACTGCCAGCCCGTCTTCCAGTGCCTCTGGGTAAACTCCAAGCTCCAGTGCTTCCCGTAGCAGCCGAGTATGTTAACCCAGGGGGCCCCATAGCCTCTCTAGGACATGATGTCTCCTTATTCTTGGCATCGGAACAACCTATTCCCTTTCCTACAGAAGTAACTTCGAGCAGCTTAGCTTGCGTGCCCGGCAGATTCTTGAGTGTTCTTGCTGGGCTAGCTCTCCCATCACCTGGAGTATTGCGCCCACACTACGCACTAGCTGCTCCCCTGCTTCCGAAAATGAGATCAGTCACATTTTGGTCTTCAAATCTGACTCCCACCCAACAGTCAAGAGCTAACTGCCTCTGAAGGGGAAACTTCTCCCCAACCGCTCAAAGGAGTCCGGGGCAGGCCGAGAGAGGGGCACCCACCTCTTTAGCTCTGCAATGAGCAGAGCCGTACAAGGCACTCCCAGTGTCATCAGAGAGATGTTGTTGATGGCGGGCTTAACAAACGCCAGGCACGTAGTCACCGCAGACAGGACACAGACCACGGCTTTGAACCTGCCCCTGAATGGGGGGAAGCAAAATCAAATCAATTAGCAAAGGAGTGTTTTTTCCTTCGTTTGTTTGTTGAATGTTCTTGGGCTGAACGGAAATGGCACAAAGTACCAAGAGCCTCAAACACAAAAACATTCATACCCAGCGCTCAGTCTTCCACTTGCAAGAATTTCTCCTCAGGAGATAAGCAGAGATTTGCAAAACTGTCTAGCCACAACTGGTTATTACACAAGCCTTTTTTTTTTTTATCCAAGCTTTTTTTTTTTTTTTTTTTAGTAAGTGCAAAATTAGAACCAACCCAAGTCCCTAAAGGTGAGTTAAGGGCAATTTTCCCCTTTAGGGTTACTTTCCTGTATTTTTTTAGGTGTTTGACAGCCAGTGGTGGCACATTATTTCTGTAAGTATTTTTGGCCACAGCTGCTTAGACAAAAGAGAGATGGACAAGGGTGGCAATGTACCAATAAAACATTAGTTACAAAAACAGGCGGTATATCCCAGTGGGGCCATAGAGTGTAGTTTGACAATCCTTGTACTACTGGGTAAACATCGATGACTTTTATAACAAATAAAAAAGGCCATTTTAAAAAACTGCCTAGTTTTAAAATATAGAAATAAGTGAAAGCCCACATCATGCTAGGTGTTCAGCATATAAAACTGAAAGCCCCAAGAACTTATTCCACATAGACCTACCCCTACACTCACTTAATTGACCACCAGTATATACTAGAACATGTGTGGACAAGCAGTCACCATGACAAATCTTAGCGCAATAGTGGCCCTGCCCTGGCTGCCTCCAGGGAGGTGGTTTGATAGAAGGGACAGAAGTGGCGGCAACGTGACCCTGACCGCGCTCCCTCTCCTCCCGCTGGGATTCTATCTCCTCTTGCAGGAAACAAGAAGGCAGGGCAAGATGACCTCTTCGGCCTCCTGCATGATTGAAACTTCAGGAGCACATGATTTTCCTGAAGTTTCTGCGATTCCTCAGGAGCACAATATACTTTGGCCAAGAGCCCTGGAACCAGTCACAGTGAAGGAAACCCGTAGGGTTGCGATGCCATAATCAAGGAATCAAAGCGCAGGGAGCCTTCTAGTTCCAGAAGAGGGAAGCCGTTTATCAGCAAGGCGCAGGAAGTCATTGATCAAGCTGCCAGCTTTCTGACTGGTGTGGACAGAAACGGGAGCCCCGAACCTCAAGCAGAGGAAAAATTACATGCATGGGAAAGGAGCCAAAGAGTACATAACTCCTCAGAGGGCTCCTGTTTCCCTCCTGGCCCTGGCGGGCATCCTTTCACTCCTGGGTGAAGGGTTAGCAGCCCAAAAGTCCCCCGGTTGCCGTCACAGGATGGCCGCTGGGGACACAGAGTCCCTCTCTCAGCAGGGTTAAGGTCACATGACGCAAGCCAATGCCATCTGGCCTTTTTAGACGGGGTCAAAACAGCAGCAGCTGCTGCCTTGTTGCATCACCTCCTTCTGGCCAATGCTTTCGGGTTCTGGCACAGCTTAGAGAGGGTCAAGGCATGGTGAAAGCGCAGAGCTTAGTCCAGGGGTCCTCAAACTTTTTAAACAGGGGGCCAATTCACTGTCCCTCAGACCCGTTGGAGGGCCGGACTACAGTTTAAAAAAAAAAAAAATGAACAAATTCCTATGCACACTGCACATATCTTATTTTGAAGTAAAAAAACAAACGGAGCAAAAACACCCGGCGGCCCAGATAAATGTCCTTGGTGGGCCACATGTGGCCCGTGGGCCGTAGTTTGGGGACGCCTGGGTCTTAGAAAGATGCGCATTGAAATCCCGCCTAAGCATTTGGTAGCTCTGGGATTTGCAGCAAGTCATCTGACTCTCCACGCCTCCAGCTGACCACCTGGAAAATCCAGGCAACCTGCCTCACCTATGTGCACTGCCATTGCATCCGTTCCGACAGACAGGAGCCCTGAATAGGGGTTCGGAGGCTTTAACTCCTTGCCTGAGCAGACCACTTCACGGGTCTCCCCAGGGGCGGCTGATGGGTTTGAAACTCGGACTTTGTGGTTTGCAGTCCCACACTTAGCCGACAGCGTCGCTGGGGCTCCTGTCCCGCGTCTTATAGTTCATGGGAGTGTGAAAGCACTTACCACTGTGCCTGGCACAGGTGAGCCAAAAGCCGGAGTTCTGACTCTGGCTTCCCCCCTGCATTTCCGGGTCTTAGGTGGCTGGCATCTTTGAGAACACCAGGCCTTTCAGATGCCAGCCTTCCATTGAGCTGTGGCGTGTTTAACCAGTGGCACCACCAGCGACTCCTTTGGGTAGGTGCTCATGAACTTCATTATGACCGTGATCATTGCTGCCACTGAGTGTGTTATGTTAACTAGCATTATTACTGGTGAAGTCGCTGGGTGGTACAAACAGACACATGCTCAGCTTTGGGTGGAATGGTTGGGGGTTCGAACCCATCCAGATCCACGTCTCGGGAAGCAGTCTGGCCATCTGCACCTGAAAGGACACAGCTGTAAAAAAAAACACGGGGAGCCAGGACCAACCAACCAGCCACCAGCAACAGCAGCACCCCAACATCGTAACGGGATCGCTCCCTCTGGGGGCATCTGCTGGAGCTGGGGCTGCAATGGTCAGGGGGCCACTATTTATAGGACTGCCGACAGGTGCCAAGACAGCCAGCTTCCAGGCCGGCAGTGTCCACAGACAGCTCCCCAGGTTAGGTCCTGCAGCCCTGGAGGAATGTGTGTGGGGAGGGTGGCTGAGCTGGAAGGATGTCCGGTGAACACACAATTCTGCAGCGGGCAGAAGTCAACACAGGTCACGGGGCCAGCAGAAAACCAGAGGCCCTCAGTACAATGGAGAGCTAGAAATTCCAGGACCGACAGGGTGGTTCCAAACAATGGCAGGCAGCCCAACTGGTCCTGTTTTCTACTTTCCAGCACATTCTGGTTTCGTCCTGGAAGACAAACTCAGGGACCCCTATGAGCCCCTTTGTCCTTTGTTCTCCAAGCCAAAGCTCGCAACCCAAAAGACCCAAGTGCAGCTGCTCCTGTTGCTGTCGTGAGCTGCTGTTTAAAGCCTTGGTTGCCCACCATCGGGGACCCTGTCCCCCTTGTTCTATCAATCACTTGATTGATAGATGTCCCTTTAAAACCCAAACCAAACTCATGCCATCGAGCCCATTCCTATGCATAGCCACCCTAGACGTAGAACTGCCCCTGCAGGGTTCCCAGGTGATTTTTTTTTAATCATTTTATTAGGGGCTCATACAACTCTTATCACAATCCATACATACATCAATTGTGT